ATTCTAGAGCAAGAGTGGACCATAAGCATCCTCTGAAGTCCTTGCCTCTTTTACAGCCCCTGGACGTGTCCCCACTCTGCTTCTGCCAAATGTGTGTGTTTGTGTGTATATACATACACAATTGTCCTATGAAGCAAGATATGCTTCCTTGTTTTAACCAACATGTGATTCGGGGGGGAATAAAAATAAAACAACAAATTACAAAACACATACACAATTGTCCTGCGAAGCAAGATATGCTTCCTTGTTTTAACAAACATGTGATTAGGGGGGGAAAAGCCCAAGGATTGGGGTTGGGATATGGGGGGTAGCGGGTATGGATATGGGAAAGGTAAAATTCCAAAGAATGAGAGAATTTTTTTTTACATCCGCTTATACTTAGAGGAAGATCACCAAAACAATTTAGCAAATCTTACCGGAACGTCTGTTGTTAATAATCTCTCCATTCCCTACTTGGACCATCATACTTTTTTTTAATCTTTACTTTCCAATCCATATTTTGAGTCCAGCCGTAAAATCATTCCCAGTTTTTGAGGCTTTTTTGAACTTTCATTCAATGCTTCTGTTAGTACATCCATCTCCAACACTTCCAGTATCTTTTCTGTCAGTTCATCTAGGGACAGTATTTCTTTCTTCTTTCTTCCAGTATTTCCCATATAGTATCCTAGCTGCAGTAATTACATGTATTATCAAATACAGTATCTCGTTTCTTTATCCTCAATCTCAGGCATAATATTAAATAAAAACAATTCCTGTTTAAATGGTATTGCACAGGATACAGATTTTTGTAACATTTCATGTACTGATCTCCAATAGTTTTTTTGTTCCCCTACATGTCCACCAGATATGATAAAAAGCACCTTCCTGCATTTTACATTTCCATCACTTGTTGGAAACATTTTCATATATTTTAGAAAGTTTAGCTGGCAACATATGGCATCTATAAAACATCTTATATATTTTAACTTTAAAATGTACTGATTTTGTAAGTTTAATATTATTCTGCCAAATTTGTGTCCAATGTTCTAAATCGATGTTATGACCAATACTGTATTTTGTGCCCATTTTATCAGACAGTCTTTCACCGCTTCATCTTCCATTTTCATATTTAAGCATTTAAGCAATCTGGCTGATATCCCCCCAAAGATATCTGCCTCTGCTCCAGAGCTACAGCTAGGACACACACAGGTGGTAAAAATGTATTTGTTAACATTTATTCCCGCTACATCCTTACTTAACTTGAATTATATAAAGAGAGAGTTCCCTCTCTCTTAAGGAGAGCAACATCTTGAAAGTGGATTATATGAGATGATCTACAAATTGTAATTTCTAATTTTACCAGACCACATTTAATCCAGCCAAATTGGTAGTTTTTAATCCCACATTGCAATGGCTGAGATCCTTTTGCTAAGTTGCAACTGGAGCAGGCCCATTGAATCAATGGGAACTGGTGAGTGAATTCCTCAATCAGTTTATTATTTATATGCCACCTTTCTCCCCATAGGAGACCCAAGATGACTCACAACAACCAAGTATTATAAAACAGGTCACAGTTAAAATGCTATATGAATATCAGATTTTTTTAAAAAATTAATTACGTTTAAAAATAAAAACATCTGTAAAATTAAAAACAAAGCATTCTTGAGATACTTACTGCAGTAATCCAAATGGGATATAACTAAGAAATGTGTCACCAAGGCCAGATCAGACATCTCAAGGAATGGGTACAGCTGACACACCAGCTTTGACTGTGCAAATGCACTCCTGGCCACTGCTGAAATCTGTGCATCCAAATCTGTGCAGAGTCCAGTCCAGGAGCACACAGTCCAAGTTACAGGATCCCTATCCTTTAAATTGCTGACAAACTCTGTCTTGTCTGGATTAAGTTTCAGTTTGTTTGGCCATATCCAGTCCATCACTAACAACAGACACTGGCGTAAGTACAGAACAGCATCCTTGGATGGAAAGGAGAGATAGAGTTGGGTGTCATCAGCATACTTATGGCACTGAACCCCAAAACTCTGAACAACCTCTCCCAGCAGTTTCATGTAGATGTTGAATAACATGTGCAATAGGACTAAGCCCTGAGGGACACCATAGGAATTAAATAGGATTCCTCCTACACCACCTTCCGACTTCAGCCATCCAGGAAGGATTAGAACCACTGTAAAACAATGCTTCCAAGACCTATCCCAGAAGGATATCAAGGTCAATTCCATTGTTCCATTGCTTCCATGGGCCTACTGTAGTTATGTTAAGCAACAGGATTTCAACAAATATATTGCTTAACTATACTCTGAAATTTTAGAAAATATTCAGATAATTCACCTGCTTCATACATGATTTTCTTGAACAGCAATTTTATGATATTGGGAAACTTTGGGGCCTAGCCACCACATCACAGCTACCCAGTTCATCCTTAAGAGTTGCTATACATACGTATGTACTGTAAGTGGTTTCTAAACTTTCCAGCATCATGCCCCATTTTTGATTTTTTTATCAATCCTCACAGCTCATTACCTTCTCCAT